TTACATTGTCTTGAAATTGTTTTTAACCATTACATTTATCATGGACCCTAGCAAGTAAAATGACCATGAAGCACATGGGATTTTCTTCATATTATGTTAGTCCTCTTAATGCATGTATCACCTATTCAGATTGTCCCTTATTAAATACAGCAAAAAGAATTTTTTAAGCAGTCTTTTCCTTTAAGAGTTTACATCTGATTTCATTGACATAAATTGAAAATAATTATATCACTAATACTAATCAGACCTAATGCTTGGTTTAATTTATGGTTATGCTTTATATACTTCAAACATTCCTTGTCATATATTGTAGAAGGCATGCTTTCTTTGTCATTAGAATACATATAAGGTCTAAAGCTTGTTTTTAGCCATCAACAATTTTGTCTTCATCCCTGATTAACAAGACTTTAGACCAGACGCCTCTCAAAGAACTCATTTATCTTTACAACATGTTTGTGAGGAAGGTGTGAGTGAAATATTATCTCTGCATTATAGATAAGAAAGCAGGCTCTTAGTTTTTTGTACTTGTATTTTATTTCTTAATTGTTTTTTTGAAAAATTTCAAGATAATCTATAGAAAGAATGGTATAAACGAACCCATCTGTACCCTCACAGATTTCCTCCACCGTTGGATTATTTTGAAGCAGATCCTAGCAATCATATCATTTTACTTGTAAATATTACAACTGCCGTACTTAAAATTTATAGCCGTACATAAAGTCAATATATCATCAAAAATCCAGACAGTGTTCAAATGTCTCAGTCTTGTAATTTTTTAAACAACTTTTTGAACCAGGATCCAAATACGGACCATACATTGCATTGATTGATTAGTTCTCTTAAATCTCTTAGTCTGTTGGCTTTTATTCTAACCCCCTCTTTCTCTCGCTCTCTCTTTCCCCTACACATATACACACACAATTACACACAATTTGTTTGTTGAAGAAATTTGGTCATTTATCCTACAGAGTTTTTCAGAGTCTAGAATTTCCTGATTGCATCTTCAAGTTGTCTTTTTTCTTCTATTTCTGAATCAGATTTAGGTTTGTTGGTTGGTTGGTTAGTAAGGATATGTCTTAGTACTTTTATCAGGAGGTGTATAATAACATCTGGGTCTTCCACTCATGTTAACATCCACTGATGAACATTGCTTAGATTCTTTATTTCATTAGGGATTGCAAACTGCTGCTATTTTAACATTCTTTCTTCATTTATTAGCTGGGACACCTCTACTTCATCAGCTGTTAGGTTGAAGGACAGTTTTTACAAGAAACCCAAGATAAAGGTTTGATTTTTTGCATTTATATACTAGTTACCAAATCTATGAGGCGGTTCCCTAGCATCCTTCAGAGGTGACCAATGAGTTAGTTTTTAAATATCATTATGAATTTGTGGATTTAAAGACTTTTCATGCATCAGTCCATTACCATTGTAATTCTTATTGATGTTCAGATTGTCCCATCCTTGGCTACTGGAAGCCTCTTCAAGTTTACTTTTGAGTCCTTTTAGTACAACCCTAGTAATCTTTGATTTCTGGTAGGACAAGATGTTCCAGGCTCATCCTATATATTTCCTGGCCCAGGCTTGGGATAGGCCATTTCTCTAAAGAGTTCTGATTCCTTTTAGTAGGAAAGAGTATTTAGAAACTATAATCTGGGTATGTAGTAGACATTTTTAAAGTCATATAGTCAAAAGTAAAGTAGGAAACAATTTATAAATCTAGTTCTGATCTGGTAATTTTCCATTACTACAGAAATGGAGAGGTTGAAGTACAGTTTTAATTCAAAAATAATGAAAAACCTAAAAGAAACTTTCCTTTGACTTCAGAGTTAATTATATTTTGTTACAAAATTGACTTCTCAGATTGTACTTTTCTTGACTTCACTTGGCCTTCTCGGGGTAACCATCGTCTCATGCAGTGGAAAGTTGTAGTTCAATATGTGCCAATTGACAAAAGTAGAGCCAGCCAAGGATGAAAATTTCATCGTGAATAATCTCAAATCTATCTACGTATCAATAGGAGTTGATTTTGAAGCCTCCCAAATCAACTAAACAGGTTTGGAATTAGCAAAAGCAAAACAAGAAACTGACCTTGCAGAGAACGCTTATCTCAGAACATGTTTCCTCATCTATAAATTAAAGAGCGGATTATCTCTAGGATCTGAGTCTATCAGTGTAAAACTTTTTAGCATTATCTGAGTTATTGTTTTGTTATTCATTTATTCATCAAATATTTTTCAGTCACTTAGTGGGTACCAGGCAGTATTTTAGTTGATGTAAATAATGGGGGCAAGAATACCAAGTTGCTTTTTGCTTTCATACCCTGCTGAGACGAGATACTTATCTTTACATTGTGTGAGCCCATAATGATAACAGTCCTAAAATTCATCTCGTGTTTTCTAATCTATTCCTTGTTTGGGAAGTGAAGTCCTGAGCACTATGATTGATACTTTGCCCACAGTGAAAAAAAAAATTGCACGAACTTTCTGACATTATCAGAAACTTTGTTTACTCACTTTTTCTTTGACATGCAGTTTTTTTGGTTGAAAAAATTTCCCATTAGTTAAATTATTTTGGATGATAAAATATAGAGGTTAATTCAGATGATCTGTGTTTCATTTGCACCTTTTAAAAACCTCTCGTGTTGTAAAAATTTAGCAGTATTTATGGTTACCAGAGTTAACGGAGTGTACAGTATTTATATACTATTGTATTATTTTCTATTAGAAGGATATAAATGACCCAGTTTGTCAGATTTTCTACATAACTTTTTGTTTGAAATGGTATCCTGGTATTATTAATAATTGTACCTATTCATCTGTAAAAATTTCAACTTATTTAAAAGCTGAATCTATTTTAATTCTACATACAAAAAGTAGTCAGAAATTTGTATTAAAATGGATTTGGGTGGAGGGAATCACAATTTCAGCAACAAGAATACTTCATATTTTATCATTCAGGTTTTTTTTTTTTCAATACAGCAATAGAGGGTTGTCCCCCCAGCCCTCCGTCTCTGAGTCAGCTTTCATTTAGTCTGAAAGAAGCATACCAAAGATTCTTCTGAGAGCTTAAGTCATTCTCTGCTAGTGATAATAAACTTTTATATTTAAAGAGGTTGATTACATGTTATCAGGCTCCAAAGATGCCATTTAGGCAGCATTTTTAAATACTGTATAAGTAATTACTTTAAAAAGTTAATTCACAAAGTTTATTACCAAGGAGTATAAAGTATAAAGGAGTATAAAAAGACCCTATTTATGATAAAATTACAGTGTCGGCCATAAGTGTTAACAATCCTCTGAAGACACTCGCATTCCTGCTTTTTAAAAAATGACAGGATAGACTGTCTCTAAGTTATCAATCCTTATATTTTGAGATACTTGAAAATTTCAAAGTTATGTTGCTACTTTATATAGCATACATTTTTTCTCAAGTGATTTTTGAATAGGAGTTCCTTCCTTCAGAAAAGAACTTCTTATGTAGCCTGTATGGTGTTCACCTGCCCATATTTACCTGTTTTTCAGGGAGTGAACAGCTTTTCTTCCAAACTCTTTCCTACTTGTATAATGTCCACATAGACATCATTAAATGTGTATTTTGGTGTGTGACTCTGCACACAGACTTTCTTCACTCTAAACTCGATGAAGTGAAGAATTTTTTCCCACTCTGAATCAGCTTTTGTAACTGCCAGCCAAGTATTCTTCTACACGCATTACAGTAAGCTTAACCATACTGCTGTAGAGCTGCTCTACCCGATACAGTAGCTACTAGCCACCAGTGGCTGTTAGGCACTTAGGATGTGGCCAGTCCAAGTTGAGATATGTTGTAAGTATAAAATACAGACTGGATTTTGGTGGCGTAGTGTGAAAAAAGAATGTAAAGTATCTCAAATTTTTCTTATCAATTACATGTTAAAATAATACTTTGAATATATGGGTTACAAAAAATACATTATTTTAAAATAATATATTAATTAATTATTACATAATTATTTTCACCAGTTTCATTTTACCCTTTTTAATGTGGTTACTAGAAAATCTTAAGTTACTTACATGGCTCACATTGTATTTCTAACGAACAGCATTGCTGTAGAAAATGTGATGTCAGTCATTTTCCAGGCAGCCAAATCACTATCTTTGCTTAATAGATAGGTCTATTCCAAACTTTCTTTTCCACGATTCCTTGGAAACTACATGTAGTTGCTCGCTTATCATGTGACTTAGCAGTGCCTGTGTGTGACTTGGGAATAGTCTCTTCTACACATAGACACAAGAAGGATCACACAATGTCATACCTAGTACCACTCAGAAAAAAGGTTTAGACTATCACCGTGTATGAAACCATTGCCTTTGTTGTAAAGTGTTGCATTCATCATTTAAAAAAATAATTTTTACCATTATAAAGGTTATATTACTTTATGGATCTTTACCTGTGAGCTTTGTAAATGAATGTTACATATGAAATAAGTGTTAATGATGAAAGCCTAATTGTTTACTGTAGTAAACATTAAGTTATGGTTTTACTGCTTTAACTGATAACACTGTATACTATGCATGAGTATTAGAATAAGAAACATACTTTACTGATTCTTCTATTTTATTACTGTTGAAAACACAGTTAACATAACTCAGAGTTATAACATACTGTACTTGTTTTATTGCAAATTTTAAGACGTATATAAAAGACAGCAAACTCCTACTTAAACTAAGAGATAGACACAGAGACTATGTTTTAATCTCATGTAATTTAACATAAGTGCTATATGTAGTATACTTTGAAATATTACTCAGTATTTTTAATATCAAGCATTTTTAAAATAACCTTCTAGATATGAGCTTGAATATTGAAAATTCTCAAAATTACATATTTTAAATTTCAGACAATCAGCAATAAGATTGTAATTACATCTGGTATAAATATGGTAGCTAAGCAATAAAACATTTATTCGATCATTACAGAAATAGTCTCTTGTAAAACAACAGTTTTGTCTTAATATTTAGGAAACCAGAATTCGGGCAATGGATAAGGATAAAAAGAAAAGAATCCATAATTTCTCTGTCATCAACCCTGTTGCTGGACAGGCTACAACTCATATTTTTGCAGCTGACAACAGAGAAGATCTTCAGAAGTGGATGGAAGCCTTCTGGCAGCATCTCTTTGATCTTAGTAAGTTGACATTTGGATTTTCTAGTAGTATATTCATGTCGCATGAAGGGATGTACATAGCAATCTAAATATTAAGATTATATTATAATTGTATAGCTTGTATCAAGAATTTGTTATGCTCTTGAATAAAATGGTAGTATATCATCAGTGCATTGATGCTTTTTTCTCTCCATCTTTCCCCAGTGCATGACTGATTATAGTATAGTATACCTTTGAATTCCTAGTATACTTACCTGTTACTTTTAAGTTCTGGTCTCTAAAACAACTAGACCACATTTTTCCAAAATATTCGGTCAAACTACTTAAGGCAGTGTGTTTGATCAAAGGAATAATAAACTACATGAGGAGTAAAAAACTTCTCTAGGGTAGTGATGATCATAAAATATTGAAATGTTCAAAAGGAGATTCATTTTTATGTAGGCTTCTGTTAACTCTCAATTCATTATTATATCATTTTGGACATCATCCAAAGAGATTTTTTTTTTTTAACTGCACATATGGTTTTCCAGTTTCAATAATACAGTTCAATGGCATGGATTATAAAAACAATGTGATAGTAATGTAATAGAGTCCTAGTATGTAAAATATGTGAAGTTCTAATATTCTCAATTTAAGGAGGAATTTTATCAACAGGAAAATATTAAAATTGTATATTGAAGATGTAGACTATTGATAATGGCTGTTTCTAAGCAAACTAAGCCTACTGTAGATTCAATCAGAATTTTATGTCTTTAGAATACTTTTCTACAGAACTGAAAAGTAGAGCCATTTCCAAACAATAGGAAGTTATTTCTGCAACTCCTAGAAATAATCCTGGAGATATTTTAGGACATTTTAGGAGCTGTTACCGAGAACTCTAAAAACAGTTAATATCTGCAGTCCTCAGATTAATTTTTATAAGCCTTCTCTGATCCATGGCCTGGCCAGTTATTACACTGATGGTTGAGGAGGGGGAAGAAAAGGGATCTAAATTTATTGATTACCTTCCACATACCATATGGCTTCATTTATTTTTCATAACAACCCAGTGAGGTAGAAATTTTTTCCCACTGCTCTAAAGATGAGAAAATTGAGGCCTGAAAAGGTTACAGGTTTATTGCAGGGAACCAGAGGACTCTCTGCATGGCTTTCTTGGATTCTTTATAACTTGTTTTCCTTAAATACTGTCCTTTGGCACTCAGTAGATATTTAAATATTTCTTCCAGGCTTATTAGCATGCGCTACATTTCTTTATTTTAAAATTTCAGCTGATCTTAGGTGTGTAACTTAAAAGACAGCAACTTCCTTTCATTTGCTGATCACAGCTAAAATTTTAACCGCTTTCCTAAATGCTCTGATTTAGAGAGTCTGTCTTATAAAAAAGACTGTGTTACTTTTAAAAATGATTCTGGTATTTTATAATTTTTATGTGGACAAAAACAGGAAGGAGGAGTAAAGGAAAGTAAAAGTGCCAGAATATTATAGTCTGGATATCAACTACTATTAGATGATCTCATGTTTTCATTCCCCAAATTATGTAAAATAATTTATCATGCTAAAAGAGGGACTTAGAGGGATAAGAATCTCATGACATTTTTATAGTGTCAAAGTAATAAGAAAGTGATGACGATTAGGTTCTCAGGTCTGGCTACTTTTTTAGTATTTAATGCTTTGGGGATAAAATCTGCCAATCTGTCTAATTTTTAAAGTATAAATTCTATTACATTTGCTGTTTAGAATTCATTGTGTAAGATATGAAGGTATGAAGCAAAGATGGAAGGGTTTATACTATCCTGAAGATTGACTTGTACTTTAAAATTTTTACCCTCCTAGTGATAAGTGTAGCCTCTTATGATCTTAGGTGAAATATGATGTGTAGAACAAAGTAAAGGATAGATATCCAGGGCAGAATAAAGTAACAGTAATTTAATACTTAGAACAAATTTCAATTACTTGACTTAGCTTAAGTGTATAAAATTGTGAGGGTGAGATAACTGGAAATCATGAGAAAACACTAATGGAACTCGGTGTGTTTAGCCTGTGGAAGAACAGCCTAAGGAGTGAAGGTTGGGAGGCAAGGGGGAGGTAATAGCTAATTTTTAATATTGGAGAGCTAACAAACATGTAAAAGAGGAATGACACTTGCTTTGGACGATCAAATAGGGTAGAGCTAGGAATGGTGAGTCAAAGATAAATTTTTTCAAATATTTAATAATATAAATACTGAGTTAAATAAGCAGCTTAACTTGACTGGGAACACTGTAACAATAAATATGGTGGGAAACATCTTCAATATACAGATTTTATGTGAACAAAATGTATCCATTTAATATTTCATATTGGGCCTTTATTTTTATGTTAGCATATTAGTATTACATTTAACTGTGCATGGTAAAATTTATTTACTGGTAAAGTAAACGTTTAATTGTAACATCTTGACCAGTGAACATACCACATTTATACCTATGACTGTAATACATGGGATAATGTGGCTTTATATTCCAGTTTTCAACATGATTAGTATTCTGCTATCAGTTTAACAATGAAAAGCTTTCATCTATCAATATAGAAAAAAGTACTGCACTACATAACTTGTCTAAGGTTTGACCGAGAATTGTTTGCTGGTTTAAAGTGTTTCATTACTTTCCCAGTAGATAAGGCCTTTTTTTCCTGCCCCCAAGAAGGAAAGGCTGGCTTTTACATATTCATCTAAAAAAGTAGAAAGGTGGAATAAGTTATCAGATCTCAGATCCTACTAGATTTAAATTCTACAGGGCAACCTCTGAAGCCTCAAACTCAAGATTTTATTCCCTTTATAGATTGCTGTGTGAGTTATTTTGAAATTTTTACCATATTCTATACTTAGTATTGTAATAAAACATACTGAAAGGTTTTTTTCATGCTTCTTAACTATTTTTTATGTTTCTAAGCATACTGAAAGGTTTTTTTATGTTTCTTAACTATTAGGTGGTGGATTTTAAATTTATGCATATATTACCTTATTAACATGACAGTAAATTAGACTTAAATCAACAAAAATAGATAATTTGACTAAACATGAAGTGTCTTTAATTTTTAAGCCATGGAAAATAAGTTGGATATTGAATATGGAGGTTGAGAATTAATGAGAGAAATATAGATCATAAATCATTATAAAAAGGCACGTGTATATTACATTTACTTTTCTGCTAATGTAAGATAGAATATAAGAATGGTAAACCTCCATAACTTACTTTTATAATGAATATATAGACACATAGTTTCTAGCACAGCTGTTACCCAGCGTGCAGGTCCACAATAAAGACGGAAAGGTTACATTTTTTTTACACCCACTCAGGAGAAATAAATCTGAGAATTTTATTTTGAGATGAACATAGTAAAACATAATTACAAGAAAAATTAATGTTGTCCACACTTTTGAATTTTAACTTAATTGAAACAACTTATTCAAGAGTATTTTTATTATTATTCTGAATGCCTAATGGCTTTATTTAACGTGTCCTTCCTAAAACAGATTAGATCCAGTTAGAATTTTGAGTGATCTGTCTTTATAGTAACAGGTTTTTATATATCCTAACTAAAATGAAAATACAGCATTTTTCTAGTTTCCTGATTTTTGAAAGGGCATGATAATCATCTTAAGAGATCATTTTTATATAAGCAACTCTTATTTCTTAATTAAAATTTTCAAAGTTAAAATCATTTTTGAGAACCACTAACTCCTTACGTTTTTTCCTACTTCCTGCTAGGTAACTATATTTCAGTTAATTTTTACCTTTCAACTGTCTTAAATACTGGATGTTTTTATTTAATATTTAAAATGAGAGAATTTATACAAACCTTTGCTGTAAATAGAGATTTTAGTTATTGACCATCTAGTGAAGTAGTATAGTATTTAATAGCCTACAGATCTTAGCTTAATATCTGTTCATAGAGATTTATATTTAAAATAGAGTACTTTTATGTCTAGACTTAGACTTTGAAATCATGGGAAGTACTAGGATTTTATAGCTTCTTTAAGATAATGCTTTATAAATTCACTTACTTTTCAAATCAAAAAATGTGTTAATATCTGTTGAAAATTAAATATACATCTTCACATTTATGTTTTAAACTAGCGTGCCTTTTTCTGTCTTTCTTAGGCCAATGGAAGCATTGTTGTGAAGAACTTATGAAAATTGAGAGTATGTCACCACGGAAACCACCTTTGTTCTTGACAAAAGAGGCAACCTCAGTCTACCATGATATGAGTAAGTGGGGTTTGTCTTTTCTAAGCTGCAGGGTAACAAAAACAACATTGTCCTTACTCAAGCAGCTTATTCTGTTGACATTAAAATGCTAAAATTTTCAGGGCACAGTCAAAATGAATGAAAAAAGACTATGATTATAGTCTAAGGAACTCATGTTTAATAGATGAATTAATACAAAATTAATGAATACACATTTTTCGTAGTTTGAATGCTTAAGATCAAACAAAAATGTTAAGGCTTCAAAATGAATAAGGGTGCACTGAAAATAAATATTAGCTAAGTAGCTGATGAAAATTCTGAAGTGTAAACTTGAGATTCTAAAATATAATTATGTTCAGTAATTTTTTTCCATATTTTATTAAATTTGTTTTAAAGTAGCATTGATAAATGAATATTAATAAATGGACCCTTTCATCTCAGGCCAAAAAATTGGTTAAGTTTAATACTTAGGAAAATTTTAAATTTCTAGACTCATTAATATTCCATTTTCCCACACTTTGAAGGTTATTTGTCTTTGTGGGATTGCCTCAGTGAATAGTGTTGTGAATAAGCACAAGTCAGAGCTAAATTCTGGTGTATTTTTCCACCAGTGTCCCTGCACTTACATATACCTTAAAATGTTGGATTTAAAATGAAACATTTGAGTTTACACATTTGAGTATATCATGTAATAGACGTTTATCTGTGTTCTGTTTTTCCCAAGGATCATAACCAAAATGGTATTAAGGCTTCACTCTGTTTCCATGGGTTTTTTGTTTTGGATTTTTCCCCTATTACAGAGACTGCTGGTCTACAGGAAAGAATACTAATCCAGTTACATTTTCCTAGTTTACATATCAGGGTTTTATAAAAGGGAATCCACTCTTACCTAGAAGTCAGAATAGATTTTAAATCCAACAAAAGATATTTTATAAATACTTAACCTGTAGAATTCAAAAAAATTCTGATGTAGCTCCACTCCTTTGAAAGCTGGATTTTACACATTTGTTTAGGAATATCTTTAAGTGTGTGTGTGTGTGTGTGTGTGTGTGTGTGTGTGTGTGTGTGCAGTGCACAGTACATGATCTCCTTATTTTTTTATTTATTTATTTTTGTGGTACGCGGGCCTCTCACTGTTGTGGCCTCTCCCGTTGCGGAGCACAGGCTCCGGACGCGCAGGCTCAGCGGCCATGGCTCACGGACCCAGCCGCTCCACGGCATGTGGGATCTTCCCGGACCACCGCACGAACCCGTGTCCCTTGCATCGGCAGGCGGACTCTCAACCACTGTGCCACCAGGGAAGCCCGATCTCCTTATTTTTTGGTTCCATTAGTTCGGTTATTTTTACAAGTAAACACATTAAAAAAAAAAAAACTTGCTTATCCTAGTCTGTTTTTGATAACTATTTTTAGGTAACATATTGTAATAACTTTCTTGGGCAAAGCTTATACTGCTTTTGAATTTTTTTCCATGTATTTTTTCTTAAAATTATTACAGGCATTGATTCACCTATAAAACTTGAAAGTTTAACTGATATAATACAAAAAAAAATTGAACAGACAAATGGAGAGTTCCTTATTGGTCAGCATGAAGAATCCTCACCACCTCCTTGGGCCACACTCTTTGATGGTAATCACCAAGTTGTCATCAAGAAAAAGGTATTATCTCCTGCAAGCAAGCAGTTACATGATGGGAAAGGGAAAAAGAGACGAGCTCCCCTTCCTCCTTCTGGTAAAGCTGCATTCAGCTTAAAAACACAGAGCAACACAGATCAATTGGTTAAGGACAACTGGGAAAAGACAAGTGTATCTCAGACCTCACCTTTGGATACCAAATTATCGACCCTAATGCATCACTTACAGAAACCAATGGCTGCTCCTCGAAAACTTCTTCCTGCCAGGAGAAATAGTTTAACTGATGGTGAGCACACAGACACTAGAACCAATTTTGAAGCCAAGCCAGTGCCAGCTTCACGGCAGAAATCTATGAAAGACATTTTGGACCCTAGATCATGGTTGCAGGCACACGTGTAGAAAACCCTTAATGTCTAAGACATTTAACAAAATCTGTAACTGTGAGGCTTAATTCAGAAGCACTATAGATGTAGTAATATGTAATTATGTAGGTAAATATGACAGTGATTTACATCAATAATTAATAAGCTATTAGTTGTAAAAAAAATGTTTTATAATGAAGAAATGGATTTCTCTAGCAGAGTGCAGGAGGCAGTTTCTAGACAATATCCCAATTATTGGAAGGGTTAATTTATTCCTAAGTTAGTACCAGGCAGTGAACAAGCACTAGGCAGAAGAAAGCATTAAAATTTCTTTGGGGAGGGATTGTCTAGTAATTTAAAATGTGTTAAATAAGAGCCATATTCTCATTATGAGGATTTTAATACTAATGGAATGTTTCAAAAGTTTTATTCAAACCACAAATTATAGAATCCACCCAAGAAAATTTCTTCTTAGCATTCTGGAATTCTCATCTAATGGTCCACTGGCTCTCATCTGTTGTTTAACTCACTAGTTAACTCAGTGACCTTTCAGATTCCTGAGATACATTTTTGAATATTAAATTCTTCATTTTTGAAGGGAATATGTAATGTGCTGTTCAAAGTTGTTTCCTTGATGAGCCCTGAAATCCTGTTGACATTAACTCTCATAAGTAAAGCAAAACATTTTTTAGTTTAAGGAACAGGTAGATGAAATGTACTTTACTTCCACTTTTCTATGCATGGTACTAATTTCTATTGTGACATTGGCATTTGGGGAAGTGAGTAGCTGATTAACACCTTAAGATTCATTCAGTACTTATTTAAAAAGCACGTGGCCGATTCAAAATATCAGAAAAGTTGGCCATGATAATAATTTTCAGAATTAATCCACCTAAAAATTTTTAATTAGATTTCCTTTTTCTAGTAAGGGTTCATGTCTGCTACTGATATTTGTCATTAAAAGTCATACTCTTTCAATAATGACATTGGAATCATTTCCATAGGAGGTAATTTCCATAGCAACTAATCATAGTGACACAAACAAGATTATGAAATCAAGTGATGAATAAATAGCAACAGAATGAATACCTCAAAGGAACTAAAAAATCCATTTTCTTAGTAATTATGCTTCTTGTAAACAACAGCTAGACAATTTTAAAAAATCTAATCAGAATTTCCAAGTAAAATAAAACAGTTTCCTTAAGGTGTCAGCAACAGCACTAAAAATTTCAATTCACACTGAACCCTAAATGTCATTGCAACAAATGAAAATATAAGAATTAAATTACTGCCCTGTGTATAATCTCTAGAGATCTTTTTAAAGCTTGTAAGAACTCTATTTGGATCGGAACTACATTATTTTAAAGTAAAATGAACACTTGACAAAAAATAACATTAATTTAAATGGAGCCTTTCATTATTTTTAGATAGCAGAGTCTTTTTTTATTTATGTAGAATGATGTAACTGCCAGGTTACTTTTGTGTTTACCCAGGACTCCTAGTAAGAATTGGGACTCAAGGGAGTAATGATACAAAAGGTCTCTTGTGACTGGCGACACCAGGATAGACATAGCATTTGATGAGAAGGAAATCCTATATGCTTGCCTGATAGAATTTAGAGACAATCAAGTGTATGAAAACCTAAAAAGGTAGGATTAATTTGTTTTTTCTAACTAGAAGGCTCTCGTAAATCTCAGTTGTGATTGCCGATTCAGTAAATGACATTAAAAATCTAATGGATATTATTTTTGTTTATTTTTTAAACCTCACTGCTGTTTTTGACAGCATTTTAACTGTCGTTGCCACTAAATTATTGAGCTAGAAGATGCTGCAGGAAAAATTGTTTCTGAAACTGGCATCTAAGCATTCTTGTTTTTTTGTTTTTTTTTAGTTAAAGCCTTCCTTAGAACCAACCAGTGTTAAAACTTCTAAATTATATGCTTGTCGTTTCTCCTTATGCGTATTATATCAAGAAGGATCTAAGTTGTACAGGAAACAGAATTTGTTCTTAGAGAAATTACCTAGCAGTTGTGCCCTTAGGGGGCACTTTGAAACAAGCCTGAAGCCCATCTTCCTAGAAACATTTAGGCGAAGCCTGACCAAGGACCACCTCCCCCCAAAATTATTTAGGCTGTTTCTGGGGTCCCATCTTACTGTATGTTACAAAGCCTTTAAAATCCGACTGTAGTCTTCAGCTGTACTTCTTTTGACATGGTACTCATTAGATGTTAGTTCTCCCCACTCTCCACTCCCCTCGAAAGGTATAATAAAAAGTTAAGGATCCTTCCCTCCTTCCCTCCCTCCCTCTCCCTTCCTTCCACAGTTAAACAAAAATCTAAAAATACTGAGTTAAACACTTTGTCAAGGAGTTTGTCAAAAGAACTATTTGTTTTCTCATTTCCTAAACCGGAAGTTTATGACAGAGAAAAATATACCATGTAATAAAAACATTTCAGCTTTTTATGAGCTGGCTTTTTACATTCCTTGTTTGTCCTTTTCATTTGTTTCTTGATATATGAAGACTAATAAACTTGAAACAAGGAGTTAGCTGTCAGATCTTGATAATAATGTTATAATTGGAGATACATAATAGAAAGAATAGGTATTTTATTATAATTCAGATGATCTGATAATAATATCTTAGAAAATTACATTTCAAGCTCTGTGATATAAATTACTTAAAACATCATTAAGATAGTATTTTAATTGCTACAAAGTAATGAGCTTTTTATTTAAACATCTTGCAAGGACAAAGAAAGCATTTTGTTACTATAAATGCACACCTCCTAAGGTAAACAGTCTTTAAAAATATCAGACATGCCAACTCGTGGTTAGTTTTGTTAAATCCTCCCTAACTCTCTGCAGTGCCCCCCTGACTTCTTTTAAATGGACGTGCATGTATGTGGAAAACTAAATCCATTTATTATAAATGCCTTATCTTTACCCTTTAGGTTCCTACTAAATGTATTTTACCGGGTACTGTTTATTAAAATGGAAGCTTCCTTGATTTAGAGACAGTTCATGTAAGGTAGGTAAGCAGTCAAGTACTTCTTTAGGCTTATGTTCAGCTCCTCAGCCACCTACTGAGAAGTTAATTAATTCAGTACAAAATGAAATTATAGGGCAGTTTGGTGCAGTTTATGTTAAATGCCATTTGAATGTAATCACCTGTGTTACCTTGAACGAGGAACAACCATACTAGACAGAGATAGAATGCTGCACCATGAGCAAGAGAAGTGCTTTGGCAGGAAAAATATCTGTCCCTGTGGTTAGAATTTATCAAAAGTCATTGTCTTTTTAAAGAGTGAATTATTGAGCAGTAATTAAACTTTAACTGATGACCATTTATATTCTCATAGTTGTCTTTGGTGTTCTATTAGTCTTAAACTATAATGTAGATAGAGTTGACTTTTTGCATTTACATTTCAAAGACATTACTATTTGTAAATGTTTACATGTTTATGTGTAACTGCTTCATTGCTAATAATAGTTATAATAAAAATGGTTTATTCTGTATCATGCATATTCTAAGTTAATACTAGAAAAGTGTTACCTTTGATTTTTCTTCCCGGACCGGGGCACAAACCCGTGTCCCCTGCATCGGCAGGCAGACTCTCAACCACTGCGCCACCAGGGGAGCCCCTTTGAATTTTTAAGAGACGAGACTTCAGTTGAAAATATGGTCAGATATGTTATTTTCTATGACATACTTATATCATTGGCATTGTTTATAATTTTTATTTTTTAATTAAATGCGGGTCAAGCTTCTGGATTAGAAAGTATTATATCATGGATACATATATATATATTTTTAAGTATTAGAGATTGATAAGGAAGCCAAGGTCATGTGATTAAAACTTCTATATTTTAGAAGAAGTGATTCATGAAAGCATTTTCTAGATTTTTCCTTTAGGTACCCCCTCTGGGCTATAGCCTGGTAGAAGTAAACAGTGTTGTGAAATCAGGTTAAACAGAGAAAGACATACTACCCAGCAGCTGGTGCTAATTATTGTAAGACTAATATTCACAAGCCTTGGTATAACTTACATTTATTACAATGTTGTATATAATTCTCTTACACTGTATTCTTCTGAAAATCCATTGAAGTATCCTTAGTTTTTAGGTTAGTGGTGCATAATTTCCCCAGAGCTTAAGTTACTCTTATAATAAATTAGGGACCTAGGATACTCAGTTGCTGTTAGCCACAAGGAGACTCATTTTAATGCACCTCCCTCAGTACTTAATTTATTCCCATGGAGCACCTCAGGGAAGAGGGAGAGAAATGAGCAATCCTGGCTCAAATATATTATTTCAGCATTTTACTTCTAAATCTGTAGTGTGACCGGAAATATTTAACATTCCTTTTTAGAAGAAACGTCCCTTTCTCTAAGGAGAGAGGACTGCTAATCAATGTGCTCACAGAAGCAAAATACCTTAAGTTTCCAATAACATAAATTTAACTATTAAAGAAATATTAACATTTTTATTTATCTCAAGATAGGAAAAAATACCAATCCTGGCATGTTTGATAGGCAAAGTCATTCCAAATCTTGGTAAAATTGTGTTTTAAATTGCAGCAATTTGCTTTGAGAGATGTGGTAATCTCTTAATGTAACTACTAAAGGAGAGAGAGATTGAAAAGATCTTATATATACATAATTATGCTGTATCATAAACATGTTGCAAGATATCCAAATAGGTCATTTTGCTGAAAATGAATACTTTTCTGAGTGTTGTATCAAGATATATTTTATTTTTGTTTACTCAAAAGAAGACAATTTTTTGTGTGTGTGAATGGATATATTTTTGTTGAATTTAGCCAACTGAGAAACATATTTTCAACTTAATTAGTTGCAGCAATTTTAGTTTTACCTTAAAGGGGAGAAAAAGTATCAAGAGTTATCCATCTATTCACCTTAAGTATTAAAACATATGTTTTATATTTATTACATATAAAAGTAGAAGTGTATACATACATATACATACATGTACCCTGTCAAATCTTCAATCCAGATATTTTCAATTAATTTTAAAAGATTCCTTTAAAATGTGCTGCCAGTGCTAGCAGAGTCAAAGTCCAAACCTCTTTCCACAGTTCACAGGAAACATCACAACCCAGCTTCAACTGCCATACCCTTCTAGGCGCTTTCCTCTTATGGCTCTCATCTTTTGGACGTTGTCTCAACAATCTGTGCTGTTTCTACTTGCTCTTCATTTCTTATGCTGTCCTCTCTTTGCCTAGGATATCTTTTCTGCTCCTCTTCTTCATGCATTCTCCTCTCAACCCACAGTCAGCAAATTTTATTCATTCTTCAAAATGGTAGCACCACTAAATTCACAAAGACTTTGTACCCTCCTCAACCTCTCCATCTAGGTGAAGTTATACTCCTTCCTCGTGCTTTGTATGTACCTCTATTTATAGCCTGAAGTCCTTGTTTGTATTTTTGTATTCCCCTATGTATTAATTTTATGAATTTGTTGCTCCTGCGTAACAAATTACCATCAACTTAGAACAGCACCCTTTCATTATCTCACATTTCTTTGGAATAGAAGTCTGGATGGGCTTCAATGGGTTCTCTGCTTAGGATCCCACAAGGCTTATATCACGGTGTCAGCCAGGCTAGGCTCTAATCTGGAGGCTCTGGGAAAATCCGCTTCCAGTCTTTTTTAGGTTGTCAGCAAAATTCAGTTTCTCATGCTTTTTGATTGGCCAAGGGTCACTCTCCTAGAGACCACCCTCCAGTCCTTGTACGTGGCCCCCTCACTCTTCAAAGCCAGTAATAGCTCATTAAACCTGACACATCCAAATTCTCCTTAAGGAGGATTTGAATCTGTCTGACTTTTCTATCCACAATCAACTGGAGAAAACTGCCTTTTAAGGGCTCATGTGATTAGATGTAGCCCACCAGGATAATCTCCCTTTTGATTAATTCAAGGTCCACTGATTAGTAACCTTAATTACGTCTGGAAAAATCTCTTTTGACTATAATGTAACATAGTCATAGGCATGATATCATATTCATAGGACAGGAGATCTTGGGGGCCATTTAAAAATTCTGCCACCTACCGCAAGTTAGATTTTTCAAGGGCAGGGAGCATGTGTTGTTTGACTTTTAACCCTGTCATAATAGTAATGAGGGAGGATTATTGTGTATTTATTATGTGTAAGGTATTTTGCTAAACACATGAATTAACTCATTTAATCCTTAAAAGAGTCCTCCTAGTAACCCCACTAAACAAATGTAATGTAGGAGACTTGCCCTGGGTCACACTGCGTGGTAGTTAAGAGTGTGATTTCTGGAATTAGACCTTGATTAAATTCTAGCTCTGCCATGACCTAGCTGTGTGATGGTGCTGGGTTTTTTTTTAACCTCATCTAAGTTTGGGGGTTTTTTTGGTGTTTTTTTTTACATCTTTAAGCTAGAAATAGTACTTACCTCATAGGATAGTTGTGATTACTCAGAAAG